CTGGGAAATCATGAGTGATAAGGGTGATTTTGAAAATTGTAATGGTGAATTCAAACTACACAGAATAAGTAACTATAAAAGAGGTCAGGGGTTTTGGGAATACATTGCATGAAGCATATGACCCTAGGAGGGGTCAGGTTTGGACATGCACAGCAATAGATGATGCTGGCATGCTCACAAACCAGCCAGAGAATACAAACACAAAGGAGGGATATGGGGTTTAGGATTCATAAGTCAGCAAATCACATAACAAGCGACTGACAAAGTACATACATAGGGAAACATTAATTTAAAAGGGGAGGGAACATATTTCAGCATGCTAGTAATGTAAAAAGACTGCAGAAACATTGGCAGAAGTAAACATGAATGAGAAACTGAAGCAACTTAAAGAAACATATTGTTATTGAGGCTTAAAGAGTAAACTAGGACATACCAGTAGAGAAGCAAAGTGCAGGAAGATAAAGCAAACAAAAGTCCACAGTCTAGCCTTGGCTTTTAGCCGGCTAGACAAAGCAATGGCACAAGTAGCAGTAGAGAAGAGAGAGTTTTATGTGTAAGTGTGTGTTTTGAACTCAAGTTGTTCGTGTGTTTGAAAGAAGAGGGGTGCAGGGTATTTATAGTTTTTTGAAAACGAGTAATAAGTAAGGTAATAAGTAAAGTCTTAACACAAACATGGAAACAATCACAAGTCAGAATCAATTACCCAAGTGATTCCCCTTTAATTAAGGAATTCACTGTCTAACGGGTAGCAGCAAGTCTTAATTAAGGAAAGAAAATCAGTTTGGAAGCAGACTGATTATTGCCATATAAGGGGTAGTAAAAGCATGCAGTGAACAATCGAGTCTAAGTACAAAATATGCTTATTTTGGGAAAGAAATCAGCAAGGTAAAACATCACAGTAAAGGGAACAGGATCAATTAATTTTAAACAGGCGAGTGAAATTAGGATTCATAAAAGGAAAGTTTTTTTTTAAATCAGTCACAAGATTAAGATCAATCAAGGAAGAATATGCTTCTGCACTTCAGTATATAAACAGAGTAAACAGAAACATCAGACATGCGAGGCCAAGCACATTGGCAAAAGAAACAACATACAATAGTAGCAGAAATAAACATAGGATTCAGTAGTGAACAAAGTTAAATAGTCAGGGCTCACACGTATGGCCAAAGTGAAGAAGATAGTCAAAACAAGTAAAGGTCTCACAGTAACAGGTGAGGAAACCCTTTTGAAATATTAGGGTTTCAGCCATAGTCGAGTTGAAAGATAGTAAAAATCAGATAAGTCACATAAAGAAAAGAGAGTCTGAAACAAGAACTTTCAATTGAGTCAAGTATACATTCAAGCAAACAGTTTCAGAACCCAAAGACCTAGGGTTTTCAACAATAATCGAGTTTAAGATATGGTAAAACAAATAAGTCAAACAAGCACTTAATCAAACAAATACACATCTAGCGAACAACTTTAGAACTCGAATGAGACCCAAAAAGGATTTAGGGTTTTCAACATGCTGACTCAGATAGAAGAACAGCATGAGCAAAACATAGCAAAATCACAAACAACATTAAAAATCGGAGAAGAGATCTTTTGAAAAACTTAAAGGAAAACCTTAACGAAAAGTCATTTTGAAAGTAAAGTTGAAGAACTTTCGAGAAAAAACACTTGACATCCATAGCAAGTACAGATCTAAAGTAGATCTGAAAGAAAACCAAAAGATCTTAATGATTAGGGTTTCGAAAAACCCAGAAAAGGTGAGATAGGCCTTGAAAGTTACCGATCTAACCAGGAGAGTCAAGGATCTGACTAGAACGGCCATGACTGGCCGGAGAAAGGTCAGGGATGACCGGAAAAAAGCCATGAACAGCAGTCGAACAAGGACTGGACCAGGCTCCCTCGAGGTTTAGCCATGAAACCACGGAAACAAACACCCCAGAGTCATGTGAGGCCACCATACATCTCCAATAGCCATGGGAGGCCATGGATTAGGCTAGGTTTAGGGTGGGTTAGGGTGTAGTTTGATGGCGGCGGCTAGGGTTCGTGTTAGGTTTCAGAGAGAGTTGAGAGAGAAGAGGGATTCAGAGGCGGCGGTTGGTGGGAAATGAAGTAGGGTAAGGGGTCGTTTGGGGTTAAAAAGGAAAGGGTTGATATTGGCCATTGATCTAAATGATCAACGGCCAAGATTGAAAGGGTTAGGTAGGGGATTCGGGTTGGGTTATTTAAATTGGGCCGTGGGTCGGGTTTAAGATGGAATTGGGTTTAAATTGGGGTCAGATTTTAGGCTATAACCGAAATGTAATTGGGCTATTATTTAAATAGCCAATTTTCCCTTTTAAAATTATAAAAAATAGTAAATTAATTTTTGGAAATAAATTGAAAGCACTAAAATAGTTTATAATATATAACTAATACTTTAAAAATATATGACCTAATTTTATGAATATAAACGCGATTAAATCTTAAAAGAGGCTAATATTGTAATTATATGCAATTTAGCTTAGAAATACTAAATAAGTTTGTAAAAAATATGCAAAAAAATTACCTTAGCTATATTTTAGCATAAATATGAAGATCCGATAAGTGAATCATCAAAAAAAATAATTTTGGGCATAATTATTGGGATTTTATGGATAAAAAAAGGGAAATAAATTGATTTAAAAATCTATAAAATTAGGGAAAAATAATAGAACGCTTGAACATGCTTACATATTCATCTACATGCCATTTTGAAGTTATTTTCATACTGAAAATATATAGGGAAAAATTGGGTATCAACACCTACCCTTAAGCCATAAAATACGCTTTGTATTATTTTTCTCTCTCATTCTTTTAGATTCTTCTTCTTCAGCATTCTCTGTATCAATCTATCATCGTTCTTCTCTTACAAAACCCAACACAAAAACTAGACATCTCTCACTCTTTGGATTTGAAATCAATGTGAACCCTGCTCCGAATGTTACCAGCAAACCGATCCAATTTTCAACCCTTCCGATTCCACCACCTACACTTGCCTCTCTTGCTACTCACCCGAGTGTTCCGCTCTTCATCTCTATATAAATCTCCATCTTCCTCTTCTCTTCGCCGTTCTAGGGTTCTGCCCAATCTGGGGTTTGTCGTCCCAATCCACAAGCGCCATTCAAATTCAAGGGCTGACCACGGCAGTTGGATTGATGTTCACCACTTTCGAGGCAAGCAAAACTATCAGTTTTTTTACTGTACAGGATGCGTGGGAACAGTGAGATTCAGGGTTTATGCTCGACGGCGGACTCGCCGGAAATTAGGATTTTTTCTTGAACAAAGACGACGGAGTTTGGGGCTGAGCAACTTGATTTTCTGTTAATATATTTCAATGTTTTTTCAACGTATCATGCTGTATTTTCATGTATTTCATTGTATTCATTGTCTTTTTTTTTCATTGTAATTCAATGTATCTCGCTGTGTTCCATGTATTTTATTGTATTCGCTGTCTTTTTTTCCATTGTATTTCATTATATCCCGCTGTATTTTATGTATTTCATTGTATTCACTGTCTCGCTATATGCCATGAATGTAATCATATGTTTTTTTAATTAATATAATTTATGTATTCAGATATATTATATAATTTCTCTGAAGATTGCTATATTTTTGGGGTATTTTTCGGTTGAGAATCTTTTTTATAACTGGAAATACAAATTTTGTGTGTTATAATTGAGTTTGTTGAGTTATATTAGGAGTCTATTATGTTAATTGATTCACTTTCCATTTAAAAAGGTGTAATCCCTTGTTTTACGCCGTGAATACAGTCGAATACAATAATCTGTCCAGCTGTAATCTCATGTTTCATGCCAAGAATACAGTCGAATACACTCGAATACAACAACTGATTAGCTGGACTTCCCTGATTCACGCCTATTTTTGCTACTGTATTCATGAAGACAGTAGCTTAAATACATCTAATACATCTTATAACAACTAGAAAACGTATCTACAATCCGTAATATAGCAAATGGTATCTATAAATAGCTAATTACCACTAAAGGATAGTGGTTTATGAAAATTTCTCAATATTAATACCATCAGCTAATCTTGTAACATAAGTATTTTATGGCATGATACTCATTTGATGCTGTTTGGTCTAATGGCCCTTCAGTCTTTTACCTAGCCCAAACAAGTAAAGAAAGTTTAACAAATCCAACAATTTTGGGAAAAGAACTACAATAACAAAAAGGTCGCTTTAACTCATTGAAGAGCCAAATACAAAGTGAGATGCAATTTTGTGCTCTGCACTAACTAATTATGAAAATAACATAACAATTGAAAATTTGTTCGGGTGGATCCTACTCACCATACATTTGATCCTTCAGAAGTTTTTAAGCCATAGTTTGACATTTCTTTAAACACCATGAATTTTTTTTTGTCTTCTCCAAAATTTTGTTTTATCAATTTAGAACTTATTTCTATTGTTTGTTCCCTTTGAATGTAATTTTTGGCATTTTTAACTTCTAACTCTTGTAAGAAAAGATTTATTACTTCTCTTGCCAAGTCAACCAAAAAACATAGAGATTGTACAACTTTTGTGGATTCTCAATCGGGGTACGGTAGGCGCATTGGGGCGACAAATGCATTAAAAGGAAGCGCTTTCTACCAGAATTTTTTCACATCTAGAGATCGAATTTGGGATTGGATGGATCCGAATTCACAACTCTTAGCAGTGACTTCAGTTGGATCTATTGATGTCCTTATTGCTTCGACTCATATTTCCCAAAAGTTGGATCCCATTTTAATAGCTCCGAATAAATTAAATACGTGTATTAGGAAACGAAGGCTTTTTATTCCGCAATAACGAAAGCACTTTTTCACTCTTCCACATACTAGGGGATTTCACTTCGAAAAAAAAAAGCTCCATACTACCAGATTCAGGTCCATAATCCACCCTAATACAACACTTTGTCTTTAAACCAACCTTTCCCCTTGTGTAGTATCAAAACAGTCTGTTTGCATTTTCTAAAAATTAATACCAATAATGAATAAAGCTGAAATATACAAGCAGCTTTCGGGCTTTCAATGATCAGTACATCTCCACAAAAGGAGCACCTACATTAATAGTAACTGTAATGAAGTTTAAGCAAAATGTAAAGACTTTTGACTAATAATTCCTGTAGAGTCTGATCAGCTAGCTAGTCTGCGGATTCAAGAAATAAAAGGCAACCTGGTGCACTAAGCTTTCGTAATGCGCGAGGTCCGAGGAAGAGCCGGACCACAAGGGTCTATCGTACGCAGCCTTACCCTGCATTTCTGCAAGAGGTTGTTTCCCGCGGCTCAAACCCATCCTGGTCACATGACAGCAACTTTACCAATTACGCCAAGGCTCCCCTTCAAGGATTCAAGAAAAGAAAGATTAGATCTCTTGAAAGATCAGATGGAAGTTGCCTCCAAGCGCTAGCCCAGGCTAATCAGCTTATCTGAGATGATCAAGAAGACTCTCAGACCATAAGAAAAAAAAAGTGAATGAACATGGATTTTGCGAATCCTTTCTTAGTAGAAAATGCCATTGTTTAACCCCTGATCATGAGGTTCTTTGGCAAGATTAATGACAGATATCTGACAAGTGAGCACTATATATCCTAAGCATCTTGACTGAAGTACAAGTCTAACATGCACTATCCAATGTGGTCCGGCCCTTTTCCCGACCCCACGCATAACGGGAGCTCAGTGCACCGGGCGGTCCTTGATGTAACTATGTCAAACAAAGTATGTGCTAACTTACATCAACCTTTCAAAGGATAAAAACATAATATTGGAAAAGTTGAATGTACATCGCAGCCAACATTTACCTGTATCCAATACCACTACCAGCCCGAGTGCATGTAACATAGACCTCAATGTTAATGGCGATCCCCAAAGTTTAATGAAGGATATGATTGTACTCGCCTGATAGAGATGATGGTTTTCCCCTGATATCTCCAAGTTGACCATAATAATATATATAACAGTTTGATCTCGCCTATTGATAGATAACTGGTTGAAATTAAACTGTTCTTCCTTTCCTTATCAATTAGCCACAGCGTCATTAATGATTTCCTTTCAAGGGACAGTAAGATTAGACTGATTCTGATTTTTGTTCATCTTCCTAGTATCAGATCGGACCATTATTAAGAAGACTAACAAAGAATATGTTAATGTTCATCCTAAGATGTTTATATAGAGAAAAGATGGCCTCTTTATTGAATAAATATCATTGTTTAGGCCATCATACTTTTGATGGCTTATAGATAATTAATATTCTAAACACAATCCAACTGTTATATTAAAAAGTTGCAGCGCATTTGGGACCGCTGTTTAGCTTTTATTTTCCAGCTTTAACATTGATTATTAGAAAGAATTTTATACAACTGTCTAATAATAACAACATAATAACATCAAGATTGAAAGATCATTGAGAGAAATTGCAACTTTACCATATCAAGCTGGAATGTAGCGGAATGAATGTGATTCCTCCACTCTTAACCATAATTCTCGAGCTTTGAAAATGAGAAAAATTCTTGATACGAAAGGCTTTCCTTAAATGGACCCTACGTCACACGGGTGTAAATTAGTCCGGTCAGTAGGTTCCGGATAATAACAAATGTTTAAACCGAACGAAAGAATCTGAAACTTTTAAAAGTGCTTTTTCTATAATTAGTTAAAGGTAGGTGTATATCCGCCGTGGTCTAGTTTGTTACTTCGTTAGATTCATATCTCTAGTGTAACTAAGAAAAAAAAAAGGATCTTATTTTCTTGACTCGCTCATGCTCTCCGCTTTTTGCTAGTCAAAAATGCCCATAAGAATTATGTACACAAAAAAAAAAAATTCCCAAGAGATTATGGTTTAGAAGTTTGCTGTTTTAATTTATATCTAGTTGCTCTCAAGATTAAAATAAAAAAGAAAAAGGAAAAAAAACTCAACTTTGCAGCTATATATATTAATTTGTGATGAGGAAACAAATGAAAGTTGCATAAGGGATTTTAATAAGCTTGCGACGAGGGAGGCATATATAATTTTGGTATCTCAAGTGCATTATTGTTTCTTTTAATCTTTTGCCGGTGATAAAAAATGGATCTTGTACTTACTCAAAGCTAACTTATGACGTAAGGATCGGTCGTCGGATCAACATCTCCTCTAACAGTTGGGTTGGGTAAAGACCTACAATTGTATGTACAATTGTAGTAAGAAACTGATCATGTAGGCTTGTGTTATATATACGCTAACACAATACAAACTATGTCTCTGTTCATGTTAAATAGATAAATTTTGCAGTTCATTAGTATATAATAAGGATAATTCCTACAACAGATTTGATAAATGATGGCACCTTTAACGCGTCTGTTCATTTAAGTTAATGGGTAAAAATTAGATGAACACGAGAGGAGTGGAAGGAAAATCGAAAGAGGTAAATCAAAGAACTAAGCATGGTGGTAAAAGAGAATTCAAGATTTGAAATTTATGAGCTTTGAATTTGAAGTTTATGAGTTATGAAGTTGATAATATGTACCTATTCAGTGGATTCCTAAATAAAACTATTAAGTTGTTAGGACCGAAAAAAGTCAGGTGTCATGCGGAATCTAGCAAAGCAAACGTTGAACGACAATAAATCACACAACAAAGAGAGATCTACCAAAAGAGACACAAACATTTAACGTGGTTCGGTCAACTGACCTACATCCACAACGGAGATGAGCAATCCACTATAATAAAAGAGAGTACAAAATATCGAGAGAACAACCTCACGAAGAGGCAAACACAAGTGACACACTAACACTTGTCCCGTAAAGTTCTCCCCCTAAACACGACTCTCAAACCCCATACGGCTACATTGTGGATGCTACTGAATGAGAAGGGCGGATCCTCAATTTATAGAACTCCAAACCTTTTCCTACAAGAAAAGGGACTAGCCAAATATGGAAGAATTTATAATTTCCTTTTACAAAAAGGAAAATCCAATTAAGGTAATTATATTGCCCTTTCCTTCAAGAGATAAGAAAACTAAATATGGTAAGAAAATTATGGCAAACACCTAACAGTTATGTCGAAGCCGTACTTTCCATGCTAGCTCCACCCCGCATAATATAGGAAAGTTATGTCGAGGCCATATTTTCCATGCTAGCTCCGCCCTGCGAGTGCAATTGGATTCACATAACGGCCACTAAAGTTCACGATTTGAAGATTATAAAATAACTAAGGACGATTTCTTGTGTTATTCTTTCATAAAGAAATTCACAAGTGGCTTATGATTTCTTATGCATCAGCAAAAAGAATAAACAAAAATCTTTATTTCTTTATTCCTTTTCTTTTATACTTTATGCGTCCAAGGATTGGAAGGAGATGGGGTGTTTTTTTAAAATGCATGGCCATATGGTTGGAATATCATTATGAAATTCAAATGGTAATAATCAAAGAACGTTTAATGTTTTGCAGTACAAGAGTCTGGATAGGAATCTCGAAAAGTAGAGATAAATTAAATTAAATACACCTAATAGCGACAAGTAATTTTAAATTAAAGTAAAGTATCAATCACTTTCTTAACAGCAGGATTTCTCAACTCTAATTCGGTATACCTAAACATTTACCTCAAATCTGATTAGCTTGAATCACAAATTGGGATACTGTACATAAGAATTTACTCATTAAAACTTATCATTTTCAGTATACTCTACCTTTTAAGAAATTTATCATAATGTTTGTTTAGGAGTTTAGAATATTTTGGGTAAATATGTATATTTTTACTTTGTTACGCTCTTAGCTCTGCCCTTACACATAGACCATACCACGAAATTACAACAACAGTCCAATGTTAGACCACATCAAGTGCATACACCTTCGACATAAGTTTAGTTTAATGTGAAGATCAGATCTTAACAGGTTAAAAATCGACAGCACATCTTCTCAAAAATTAGTTATTAATTAATAAGGATGCATTTCAGAGTTAGAATAGTGACTTCTTGGTTTTACCATTACTAGGAGACTGAAATAATAAAATGTATAAAGCACTAGTTGCAAATTTTTAAATTAATTTTCGAGGATGATAAGGTTGTTGTGTGGAACAACTTCCTTTTTTATTAATTAGGTAATGCAAAGCTTCCAAATCTGAGCACTTCTCCGTCTTAATCCTTTTATTTAATTTTTTCGAATTGTTCTAGGTACTTTCTGGGGTATGTCACATCTGTGCGTCCACTAGGAGCCCACTCTGTAATTTTCTACTTTTTCTATAGAATAAATTAAAAGAAATAAGGTGATAAAAGCTGATATCTAGTGGTATATTCGCCTGGATTCTAATTTAATTATCATCGTCGTGATCAAGTTCGCAAATAAATAATAAACAAATAAAGATTACTTCAAGAGAATTTGTTGTAGTAAGTGTTTACACGTAAAACGATACAGTTGAATTTATACGTGGTTTCTAGACAAGCGAATTAATTCGATCCTGAAATAATAAAATAATTGAAGAAATACGCAATACTTAGCCTTAAAATGAAGACAAAATAGCAGAAACAGGGATTCCGGGGGAGGGCTTCCGGGCACAACAGTAATGAAATCAAGGAGTAAGAAGATAAGATTGTATAAAGCTTTGAATTGATTATAGCGTACGTTTGCCAGAAAACTCGTGTCCTATACAATGATAACAGAGCTCACTATTTAGTTGCACCTAGGAAGCAAGGTCATCGGATCATGCCCTTCTTTAATGTCAATTATGAGGGCCACTGAAGAAGGTGTAACGGTGAACATAAATGCCAAATTCTCTGTAACGGGCAGTGTACTAAATATTGTAGAATATTCTCCATTAACGGGTAGCAGACATTTATTGTATCTTTATGAGTATCATTCTCTCCGGTAGCAAACGGAACAGTTGTCTTCGGTCTTAGCTATCCTCTGCCTTCGGTGTCACGTGTCACCCTTCTTTATATAATTACTTAACATAGCTCGTTTTACCCTATACAGATAGTCCCCCTGCTTTCCGGTGACATAACTTTGTGTCACCGGGAAGTTGGTAGAAACACTCTTTTTGGCGGGAATTACTATGATTCCTTCTGAAAAGCTTCTGATGGTTGATTAGACGCATGTCTCTCCATATTTAATGTCCCGAAAACGCGTCATCCCGCGATTCAACATAACTTTGCTGGTTATCTAGGTAATCATAGCCACGAACTTAGCCGCCTATACCTTCACTTATACGCATCAACTTCCTTCATTATACTTCATAACACTCTAAATTTTCTAACTCTCTTTACTTAACTCATCTTCCGACTTTAACCTTTCTTTAGCTTCCTTCTTTGAGAAAAAGAAAACTCTTCCTCTTGATAAAAAATGGCCTTCTCTTCAAGGAAACCTAGTTCTTCAAAGAACAAAGGCAAAGCTGATGATGCTACCCCTCATACGATGAGCACCATTGTTCCAAAGAGCCTGGTTACCACTAAAGATTTTGAAGAGAAGTTTCCTTCTGCTAACCCTCACACGTGGGCTGTTGGCAGATACCTTTCTTCCATCCGTCCTTCCAGTATTTCTGCTGTGAAGGAAGATCGCCGCTGCCAAGAGTTGGACATTATTGCTCCTGATCTAACAAAGCGACTAACCCTACCCAAGAAGGGTTTTACATACTTTTACACAATATCCCTTTACTTTGGGAGAGTTTTCTTTGAGTGGAAAGATTGACTCCGTCATTGTGGAGTTTTGCCTCCACTACTAGGTGTGTTTGACACAAGTAAGTCCTTCTGTAAGGAGGACGATTGCTTGTCTTCGGCGTTTGTGCCAAGAGACGGGAGAGGAGCTATCCTTAGCTCATGTGATGAATCTCTATTCCCCCAAAGTCTTTCGCGGGGAATGATAAACTTCAGCAAATGCGGCCCGCTATGCTCTATTATCTAGCATTGTAATAACCCGGCCAATCATTTTAAGAATTTAAGCTCCATTCGGCGGCGTAAGGTCTTAAACAACTTCGTATTATGTGTATCGACTTGCGTGCATGGTTGAATTCAATTACCGGATGATTCGGAGTTGAATTAGAAGGAATCAAGTTTTGGAAGCTTAAGCGCTGAGAATTTGACTTTTGTGTGAATGGCTCCAGAATGAGTTTTGGATGATGTCAACAGCTTCGTATGGTGATTTTAGACTTTGGCGCGCATCCGAATTCGGATTTGGAGGTCCGTAGGGTAATTTGGAGCATTTCGGCGAAAGTTGGAAAATTGAGAAGTTTAACCCATGGTTGACTTTCATTATATCGGGTTTGGAATGCGATTCCGAGAGTTGGAGCAGCTCTATC